TTTTTTTTTTTTTTTTTTTTTAAGAAATAAATTTTATGCTCCCAGATTGTTCGTGCAAGAAGGGATCTCAAACATTTTACAATCCATATTTATATGAAATATTTTTTTTTAAATTTATTTTAAGGTGTATAATTCTCTAGGTTTTGGTATATTTTACTGTACTTTGTTGTACAACAATCAGCACTAATTCTAGAACATTTCTACCACCCCACAAAGACTGCTGTTAGCAGTCAACCCCAGTTCCTCCCTTACCCCATCCCCTGGCCCCATTTCTGCCTGTATGAATTTGCCTCATTTGGGCATTTCACATAAATGCTGTCATTCAATATATGGTCTTTCGTGACTTTTCATTTAGTGTAATGTTTTCAAGGCTTATTTCCACTACAGCATGTAATAATAATTCATTCCTTTCAATAGCTGAATAAGGTTTTATTCTGTGGTTATACTATGTTTTGTTTATCCCTTTTCAGCTAATAAAGGGATAACTGGGAATGTTTCTACTTTGAGAATATTACAAATAAAACTGCAACAAACATTTGTCTAACATTTTTTGGTGAACCTGTAATTTTTTTTTTCTCTTAGGTGTATCACTAAGAATGGAGTTGCTGACTCATAATTCTGTGTTTGTAATTCTTTTTTTTTTTTTTTTTGTAATTCTTTTTTGAGGATCCTACAAAATTTTTCAGATTAGCCATACCATTTTAATGCTTACCAGTATATGTGTGGGTTAGAATTGCTCCATACCTTCACCAGTACTTTGTTTTCTTCTTTTTTTGGCATATTAGTCAGTGTGAAGTGACAAGTCTTATTTCCACTTTCATTTTTCTAATGAATGATGATATTGAGCATCTTTTCTTGTGCTTCCTGGCCATTTGTAATTTCTTCTTTGGAGAAGTTCAAGTCATTTGCCCATTTCTTAGTTTCACTGTTTGTTTTTAATTAGGTTGTAAGAGTTCTTTATATAGTCTGACTACTAGGATTATATCACATAATTGGTATGTAGATATCTTCTCTAATTCTGTGGCTTTTACTTTCTTATACATAGAAATTTAATTTGCCTACTTTTTATTTTTTTGCTCATGATTTCATTGTTATATCTAAGACACCATGACAGCATCACACTGTTGACATTTCTGTAAATCTATATAGGATGGATTTTAGGATCAACTCTTTCTGTTCTGCAGAGCTAGCAGTTGGAATATTAATGGGGTTTTTACTGTTAAGAATTAAATCAGAATATGCTATAATCTAAGTGTTTGTATCTCTCCAAAATTCATGTCGAGTCCTAACCCCCAAGTGTTTAAGGTTTTGGAGGTTGATAAGGTCATAGGGTGGAATCCTTATGAATGAGATTAATGCCCTTATAAAAGACACTTCAGAGAGATTCTTAACCCCTTCAAGTGAGGAGAGGAATGTCTCTATGAATCAGAAAATGAGGCTCTCCCCAGATACTGAATCTGCTTTGTTCTCATCATTTGCAGCCTCTAAAACTGTAGGAATAAATTTCTATCATTTGTAAGCAGTGTAGTTTAGCATATTTTGTTATAACCCAAGTTGACTAATAGAATCCTGAGGCCAAAACCTCAACTGTTTGGTTCCTACTGTTTCGCTTCCTAATCAGGCAGATGGCTTTTGTCCTTGTTGTCTCTGCCTAAGAAACCTGATCCAGTCTCTGCATGGCTGTCTTCCTTACCACCTTCTTGTGAGAACTTCCCTGACCACCTTATTTAAAATCCAGGTTGCCCTCTTCCCAACTTTACTCTGAGTTCCCTCTCCTTGTTTCTTTCACCCCCAAAGTGTGGATCCCTTGCGGAAGGAAGGCTACATGGAGAGTTGAGACTATTTGTCCACAGCTGTCTTTTCTCATCATGCCTGGCCCACAGTAAGCCCTCTATATATAATTGCCAAATAAATGAGTGAATCTGCTTAAATCTACAAATGAACAGTACTAAGATGAGAAGGGCCCCCAGGGCAAGGCCTTAAGGTGATGCAGTAGACGGGGGGTCACTCTTGGTTCCCAAAGCATCTTTCTAGCCTGTGTCTCAGTTGGACCTCTGACCCTGTGCATGAAGTGCCTCGGTAAAACAGCTCTCAGTGCTTAGTCTCTGTATCCTTGTCTTCCTTAGTGTCTTCCAGAAAATCAGAGCTGTACTGCAGAAAGCTATGGAACACATATAGTAGTCATCACCTATTTTAAAATAACCTGTCTGTAAACAGGTACCTCTAAGGCATGTTTTTCAGTCTTCCACTTTACTTAGGGACTGATCTTTTGGGACTCACTGCAGGCAGATGCCAGTGTTAATGAATCCCACCAGTTCTCCTAACCTTGCTTACTCTTGGCTTTTTTAATCATATTCTTGAACATTTCTTTATTTTGACCCCGTAGCAGTTTGTTTTCTCACTTTCCTTTGGGATATTCAGGAATTCAGGTCTAGGGGATTGTTCACTTTAAGATGCACTAATTTAGATGATACACATCCCAGTGGAATTCTTACTAGTGTGTTTTACTTTCCACTCCTAAGTCGTTTAAGTAAAAACCAAGATTAACTTGTCCCTTACAGGTGGACCTATCTCTTATTCTACCTGAAAGCATCAGGAATGGTATTGTGGGACAGGATACTCTAAGAGAAGTTCTCAGCTTTTCTTCCTGACATCACATTGTCCTTTTTTTGATTCAGGTTGTGTCTACACTGCTGATAAACATCATCCCAGAGGACTACATTCCACTGAACTTAAGTGGAAAAGCAAAAATCCCTGGGAAAGCCTGGGTGCAGGAAACTCCTCGGCTTGTTCCCAACTTTAACCCTGACTCGATGTGTGAGTCCCAGGTAGGGCTGCACAGCTGTGTGGACTTCTAGTCCTAGTGTGGACAGGTTGATTTTGGAAAAGAGACCAAAATGTAGATATGGTCATCACAGAAACCAGTACTGTGCCTCCAAAGAGGTTGTGCTGGGCTTATGCCCAGGTGGTGCCCACTGTTGTCTTGGGAAGGTCAAGGTTGATCTCCCGTCTGAGACCTGTTTCCAGGTCTAATAGGTGCTGCATTCAGCCTCAAGCTGCCCCTTTCCTTCCCTTCATAGAACGTATGCTTGATGCTTGCTTTATTATGTAATTAGAAATTAGCTTGTTAACTTCAAGTTAACTAGCTTTTCTGTTAAAATATAAGTTCAAGCTTTAGAAGACATTAAAGGGTTTTATTCATACTCCAGGGTGCAGTGGAGGGAGTCACAGGCCAAAGTTACAAAGTTGTACGTGATTCTCAAGGTCTTAATCAAGGGTAATTGACCTCCAGTATGAGGGTGGAGCACAGAACAGAAATGTGTCCCCTGAAAACTAAATTAAAGACTGTTGGGCTGTGTGTGTTCATCGCCTTTATTTAAAAAATAAATAGTTCCACGTGTTCCCTGCTTCTTTCCACGAAGGATCAGAGGCAGGTCACAGGAGAGGGATTAACAGAAAGAGGTTAAGCAGAGCTGAAGAAGGCCGTGTGGCTCTCCCAGGAGGCATCACCTGCAGCCTAGTATTGGTGACCTTTCCCCATACAGGTGATCATCAGGGAAGGGGAGCTGCTCTGTGGTGTTCTGGACAAGGCACACTACGGCAGCTCCGCCTACGGCCTGGTCCACTGTTGTTACGAGATCTACGGGGGCGAGACCAGTGGCAGAGTCCTGACCTGCCTGGCTCGCCTTTTCACTGCCTACCTACAGCTCTATAGAGGTTTCACCTTGGGTGAGTATGTGGCTCTGAGCCCCTGCTCTGCTAATCGGTGGGGGAGCAACTAAATTTTTTCTGTGAGGATGTCTGGCCTCTTTCCTCAGTGCGATCCACCCAACCCACCCCAGCTATGGTTTCCTCCCTCTTGATGGTGCAAAGCCACCATGTCTCTCCCCATTTCTATCCTGTTCCTGTCTCTACCCACCTTCTGTTTTTTTTGTCCTCCACACTACCATGTCTCTGGCATGGCAGGCAGCTTCACCACCTGTGAAAACACTGGGGCAGAGCAGTCAGGAGATCCTAGAGTGGGCAAAACAGCCCCTTTGTTTGCTCCCTGGAGGTGAGAGCACACTGTGTGGTTCTGATATATGTAGAAAACAGTTCTTCTTGTTTTCTGAGTTAACAGTGAGATTAACATTGGAAAGTTGACAGTGGCCCAATCTCCTGGGTATGTGGCACAGGGTCTGGGCCCTTCTGCAGCAGTCCTGTCTGTGGGATCATGAGTAATCGAAATGAAACTCTGCTCTATGGGCTTGCCTGCTTGTAGATGGTGGGAATCCCACCTTGAGTCACAGGCCGGCCATGATGGGAGCTGTATTAGTTTTTTTCTTGTTTTCTGGTGGTGATACTGGGGATTAAACCCAAGGCCTTAGCATTGAGCTACATGCCTAGTCCATTTTGAGACAAGATCTTGCTAAGATGCCCTCATTGAATTTGTACTTGTGATTCACCTGCCTTAGCCACCCAGAGTGCTAGGGTCACAGGCCTGCATCACCACACCCAGCTGTGCTGCATGTTAGTCTTTCAAATGTATAGTATTTTTAATTTTGGGAAAGTTAAAAAATACAGAGAATTTTCAATCCAGCACCCAGTTGCCAGACTTATTATCCACTAGTGCCAATTTGATGCATATTTCTTAATGTTTCCAGTGCAAATACATTCAGAAAAGAAGGGAATTCTTTTACTGTGTACTGTTTTGTAATCTATGCCTGCACACACTATTCCAAACGTATTTAAATATGTCTTTCCAGTCAGCTAGTACAAACCCTCATCCAATGTCTGGTGACCACAGATCATTCCATTTATGAAGATGTTCAGTTATTTTTCAGTATTGGAAGGGAGGGACTTTAGCACCCCCATACACATGCACACAGAGGTAACAAAATCTAAAGATGCTCAAATCCCTTACATAAAATATTATATAGCATTTTCATAGAACCTGCATACATCTTCTCATATACTTTAAATCTTCTCTAAATTGTAATACCAACATAATCTAAAAAGTAGTTGCTATACTATGTTCAGGGAAAAATGAAGGAAAAAATCTATATATTCAGTACAGATCCAAGTTTTTTTTCAAATATTTTTAAATCACAGTTGGTCAAGTCTCTGGATACAGGGCGCTAGATAATTGTAATTTATTTGACTAGTTCTTACAATTAAAAAGGCTGCTCATGAGTTTTTCACGTCATCACTGAGATAAGTATCCTTGAACAGAAATCTTGGCATATAAAGTAATTATTTTATCAGGATAAGAATTAATAAATTACTATTCTGTTTGGGGCTGAAACTCACCTTTTCCGTCTTGATTACTAGAATGTGCCTGATTGCCCACTTCTGTTGGGATCTATGTTAGTATCTCCACAGGAAAAAAGGTGAAGTTCTTCACACTCGTAATTGTTTTATTTATTTATTTTTGACAGAACCAGGGTTTGAACTCAGACCCTTGCGCTTGCCAGGGAAGCACTTATTCTACTGAGCTATCTCCCTGGCCCCATAATTCAGTTTTAAATGGTGATCTGGAATAAACACAAACATCTTTGCAAACTAGAAAAAGCTCAGAGAGCTTTACTCTGCTCACCATAGGGGATCACACCGAACAGTGATGCAGACAGCTCTGCTTAACCTGTGGTACAGTGTGCAGTGACCCCGGAGTGCAGCGACCTGGTGTGGTGTGGCATTGCTGAAGCAGACAGTGAGGCTAAGCTGGGAGTAAACTCTAAGGGGAGGACAGGCGCGTTAGGTTGACTTCTGTCCAGCCCTTCTTAGCCAGAGGGTATCCCTGCAAGAGACAGCAGGTGGCCTAGAGATGAGCCCATGGCTGGATCTGCTCTGGTGGTTGTGTCTTCTCGCAGAGGGAATGTTCCTTTATCACTCCATCTGCACATGTTCTGTAGAAGCCCTCAGATTTCCCAGTCATTGCACTGGGAATGCCATAGGATAGGCCCAGGTCTTATACAGTTTGCCTTCCTGCCCAGGTCATAGGTAGAAACAAATACATGGATAAAGCAATTAGACATACTACTGTACAAGGTGAGCAATTCTTCAACCCTTAGAGGCAGAGGACGAGCTTGCCTGAGGCAACCCAGGCTTTCATCCTCCTGAGGCAGTGCTGAGGAGCCTGCAGTACGGGCCTCTGTCATCCAGGCTACAGCCTGTTTGTGGGCCTGTTCATGCATCCAACTACACAGGTGGTGCCCCAGGTGACTCAGAGCCTCTGGAAAACTAAATTGGGATATTATCTGTCCCTCTTTTTCCTTAACCTTTGCTTTTTAGCACAAACCTCTTGTGTATCTCATCACCCTTTCATCCAACACAGATTCATTGGGTAGCTAAGGCCACCTGTTTGGGACTCTGGCCTGGGCTTACTTTCCAGCTATATAACCTTAAAATAGCTCAATTTTGAGCCTTGTAGTACTTATAATGTGGGGGGTGTGGTGTTAGTGCTGTGGCTGGCAATCTATTAGTAATGACGTCAACGTCTTTCCCATTTTAATGCTTCCTATTCGTGTGTGTAGCTCTGAAATCTGGGCTTTCATGTTGCCAAGCTTACAGTCTGGTGAAGTCAGGCCTCGTTCTTTCTGAGCTTCTTCTGTTTCATTTCCCAGGCATGGAAGACATTTTGGTGAAGCCAAAGGCAGATAAAAAGAGACATCGGATCATTGAAGAATCCACCCAGTGTGGGCCCCACGTAAGGAGGGGCTAGGGACTGTGGCTGCTGTAGGGGCAGCAGGAGTCCTTCAGGAGAGCCACACCGTCCTCATTTCATTGCAGCCTGTGATTATCTTCTGTCATTCTAGGCTGTCAGGGCTGCATTAAGCCTGCCAGAAGCTGCGTCATGTGATGAGGTCCGAGGGAAATGGCAGGATGCCCATCTGGGGAAAGATCAGAGGGATTTTAACGTGATTGATATGAAGTTCAAGGAGGAAGTGAACCATTACAGCAACGAGATTAACAAGGTTAGCCTGGAAGTGCATGCACTTATCTCCACCTTTTAAATGCAGATTTTAAAAAAAAATTCCAATTGTCGCCCAAGATGGTTTGGAGCACTTTGGCTTTAGGGCCTCATTCCCTTACCCAGTTAAGTCTAGAAAGGCCTGAGAGAAAATGTTTTGTGCTATTTTTCTCTTAAATGTTTTTGTTTTGAAATAACTATATAGAAGAGCTGAAGGGAGCTGTCTTCCCGTGGGACTGACTGCTCTAGATAGACAAGGAGAATGAAGAGCCAGAACTCCACTGTTACTTATGTAGCTGAGCCAGAGTGAACCCTGGCTTCAAATCCTGTTTGTGCCTTGTACTTGATGGGTGGCCTCATGCAGGTGACATAACCCACTAGTCTGTGTATCAGTGTCCTCACCTGGAACCAGGAGTAGCTGGGCTTACTGCCCTGTGGTGTAGAGGAGCCGTTCCGGCCCTCACCCTGCCTTCTAGGCCTTGAGATCCGACCTTAGAAGAAAGAAGGCCAATGGTCAACAAAAGTCATTTGTCTGTGGGGGCCTTTCACATGGGTTGTAATGTCCCTTTGGCTACTAGGAAGACAGACCTCTTCATGACAGGAATCTCATTCTCAGGGGCTTTTGTTCAGAGGAGTCTCCCCAGCATCATAGGGCTGACTGAACCTTTGCAGTGGGGAGTTGTCTTCATAAGCACCTCAGAATGGTTTCTGGTCCCCCAGCTCTCCTCTTCCTGCCACCTCTACCCATCCAGGCTCTGCCCTTCCTGTGTGTGGCCTGGCACTCTAGAACCCCAGGCAGAAGCAGACCCAGGGCCACCTCGGAATTCTCCCAGGCTGCTCCTCCAGAGCAGGTCCTGGAACCAAGGCAAAGTTCCCCACCTGGCATTGGGCACTGTACTGGTAAATGTGGGCTGGTGTGGCTGTTGGTGATCTGCTGGCCATGTTCCAGGTCACTAGGCCATCACCTTTATTTTCTTCCTACTTCCTGTGTAGACTTACGGACTGCGTATGCCAGCCACCACCACCCTGCCCATACACACTTCCTTTTTCATCTTACTTTTTGCCACAGTTTAGGCAGGCTGAGGCTCCTGCCCCAAGATGTGCATACCCATTTGACTTCTGTGTAGGAGTTCTAGCAAAACAGTTGATGCTAAATGAGGTCTGTTTCACCTTGAATGGAATTTAGCCCTTATCTCTGGATAAATCTTCTCACTTTATTTTGTCTGCATGCCAGATTTACCTTCTGATCCTGGAATTTATTAAGGGACTAAATCACTTATTTGTTTTCGTCTGCAGGCATGCATGCCTTTCGGCCTGCACAGACAGTTCCCAGAGAACAATCTGCAGATGATGGTGCAGTCAGGAGCCAAAGGTTCAACTGTGAACACAATGCAGGTGTGAGCAAAAGTGGCCTGGCTGGTTTGCCAGAGAGGTGGGATATTGGCAGGAGATGGTCTTCAAGTTCATTTCTGATTTTATAAACGATCTGCATTCTGTATAAAATGTGACAAGGACTGAAAACCCTAAAAGCATATAAATCACTGCAGCACTACCCACTGTTAAAGATAGAAGTAGATATACTGTTGTACATGTGTAATGTAGATAAACATTTACGTATTTTATTGTTTTATGTATATTCAAATCGTAAACACACACTGTGTTTAAGATCTCAGCTGATCTTTCAGTTTTGCTTGATCTGCTTTTTCTCCTAATGTCACATTATAAGGGTTTAGTTTTAGAGATTTAACCTTTTGAGGCCCATTATTTCAGAGTTCTACAGTGCTCGGG